GGGGGGGGGGGGGGGGGGATGGGGCGCCACGACAAACACCGGAATATGATTAATTCACCAACCCCATCTTGCCTACCGCGCTCATCTCTCTGTCTCTCCTCTGGGCTCATCTCGTGACCTTCGGTGTGACACACATCACATCAGTTCAATCCACTATCTCACAGAAATCTGAGATTAAAAAAATATCCCCCTCTCTCTCTTCCGGATCGAATGAATTTCCCTTCGATAATAATCCCTCGTCCTTGATGATGAGTTATAAATAAAAATGTCCTCTGAAAAATTCCTCCTCTCAGACGCAAAATGCGCAATAACGAATGGGAAATTAAGTCGAGTGTATATTTTCTTAGCGTCTCTTTTTAATCAGGAAAACTTCAAAAGAAGTTTTCTACCCTCGCTGATTGATTCAACAGGAGAAAATTAGAGGGGGCGGGGGTTTGGGTCTAATGAAAGGTTCAGGAAGGAGTAAATACTTCTGATTGAGGGTTTTTCATTTAATTCACGATTTATGCACTGATTGAAGAGTTTATTTGTTGGTAGATGAATTTTGTTGAAGGTTCGCGTTGGGTTTTCCACGTTAAATGTGCATTTGTTAGTTATTAGAAGATCTTTGATTGTTCATATTCAGCTGTGAGACATTTGTTATTAGTCGTTGAGCTTCGGCGATAGCTAATGATTTTTTTTGTTTAAAAAACATGGAATTTTATTAACAGACTAGTTCGATTTCTCAAGAATGCGCTGTTACAAGAACATTTAAATTTTGTGAGCTCTTGATAAGAGATTTTTAGAAGAAATGGAGTCGATTTAAGGGGAAAAGAATCATGAAATTAAGAATTTTTGAGATGTAGAAGAGAATTTCCGTTGAGACGAAAAATTCAGCCAAAATTTTCTAATTTTGTTCCATTTGTCCGCAGATCCGGAGTTTGGGAGAACTGCAGGGCTGCCTACGAGGACATTGTGAAGCACCTTGAAAGGTAGGACCCCAACAACTCATAAACAACGCTTAAAAAAATCATCTAAACCGATTTTCGTTCTCGGGAAAATATTTTCATCCTCAAAATTGTAGTTTAAATGACTCATATCCTCGATCCGATCATTCGCCTCCCTCTCATAATTCCCAATTACCCGAAAAATCACCGGTATCCGGGATATATCAGTGCACCAATCCCCGTGGAAAAACGCTCGACCAAAAATTCATCCCGCGATGATCATCAAAAACGGCTGATTTCGATCGGTTGGATATGGACTTCCGATAAATCAGCATTACCGTCAACATCGAGTTTCCGGCTGCAGGATGGGTTGATTCCTCTCACTTGACGCGGTAATACCAACATGATTTGTACGGTTCCATCCCCTCTCGCCCCCCCCCCCCGCCGCCCCTCCCCCTCCCCCATCGGATCTACGTGTCGTTTCTCCCTCCCAGCGTCAACCACCAGCCATTCCACCCAGTGGGCGAAGCGTCACGCAAAACCGATGGTTTCACCGGTGATCCTAACCACTTGTCACTTCACGGGACGCAGATCATCGTCACGACGTGCCCGTCCATCATTCGGGGATTAAATCATTCGACTGTCCCCGCAAAACTACCGCGGGCGGGCGCCCACCCTGGGAAAAGGCTTATTCAACGCACGAGAATTCTGTCAAATCAAACATTTGGATGTAAGAGAGGTGGCAAGGGAATTCAAGATTAACAATTTGCGTTGTTAGTTTTGTGATTGATGGGAAATAGGGAATGGAATTGAAAAGAGCGAAATTGCGCGAAGCTGGAACAATTTTTGGAACATCGAATAGAAGTTTCACCTTTATAGGGAATCATTTAAAATTTTTTTTTTAATTTTCATAACTCCAGACAAATCCCATTTGATGAACAATTCAGTAAATTATTGACATTTCAAGAAAAAGTCAAGTGTTCACTCTGCCCTACTCATCCCTATTATATCCGTAATTTTTAGAAATTGATTCTCTCGTAATTTTTTTTAGGAATTTAAGGGATTCAATCACTAACCTTTTAGAGATAAAACTCTAAGATTTAGGATTCTGTTTCTGGAATTTAGTGACACAATCTTTTGATTCTATGATTTCTCGCTCGATAAATTTTGAAATGCCGTAGATCCCTCAAATAAAAACATTTTTTCCCTTCAAAATTACAGGCAGATGGAACATTTTCGAGAATTAATAACGGAAAATTGAACAGAGTAAAATTTAAGAATTTTTTTGGAGATCCAAAATGAGATCAAATTTATTCAAATCGTATCATTTGGTCAGGCGAGAGTGACGATTGAATTTTTCTTTGAAAGATCCATTTTAATAGCAAAAATAATTTCTAATTCTCGATAATTCCAAATAGACAGAGTAAAATTACTGTTTTTCAATGTCTGTTTGCAACCTTTGCAATACCATAAATTTCACCCCAGAGAAATGGCTCATTTTGATTGACTAACCTTCATTTAAATCAAATAAATGGGTTTATTCAAGTAGCTCGTAACAAATCTTCAGTTCAAACACATTCCACTTGTATTTACGTTCTAATTCGCTTCAAATATTAAAAATAACTATAACCAAATATTTCCTGGATCGGAATGAAGAGCTTAATAACGCAGAGAACGATCTCATTAATATGCAATAATCCTGTATTTGATTCTGATAACAGGATTTTTTATTCATTCCATGAAACTAAAATACTTTCATTGAAATAAATCTGAGTTCAATAATTTCCAACAATAATATTGTAAATAGACTGAAGTCCCTCGGGCCAGTTGCAAGTTCTCGCAGGTACCTGCAATAAATTGCCTTAAAAATAAATAATAAATGCATAAATGTTATTCAAACGCAGGAAATTTAATGTCAAATCGTTCGACCGTTCAGTCCCTTCCATTTCACTTGTTCCAAACAAAAGTTGACATCAGTGTCAGTGGCAACAAGTTCCAATTCCTCGTCTGGAGACTTGACTCCACCATGAATATTCAAAATAAATCGCCCTTCCGAATGCCAAACGATTTCATTCGAGTTTGTATGTGAGTCAAAGGCCTCTCAAATAACAATGCGCGTTTGTCCGGCTAAAGCAAATAGAGAGTGGGCGATCGTCCGAAAAGAGAGTAAAGTGCACAATTGGTAGAGTGAAAGAGACAGACCAGGGGCAAGAGGGAAAAGCCAATGGTCATTGCCTTTGAATTGGAAATTACGTTTTGTGATTGTGTATGTGTGGGGGACCAAGTGTCGATTCCAACCCTTCGTGGCCATTATACCTCGCACCTTATCGGAATACATCCGGATACATTGTGGGGGAGGTATTCAACTCTTTTCACGCACACCACCCTAATCATTTTTTTGTGATATTACAAAAAAGAATCGCCAATTTCATGTCAATCACAGGATTGGGGGGAGAAATTTGTTCATTTTTCAATTGTAGCTTTTGAGGCGAATGTCGAAGGACAACTTTCCCAATAATTTTCATATGGATTTATCAATAAAAATCATAATGATGATTATGGTTATCATTTGACGGTCAAAAAGATTTTTCTTTCGCCGAAATTACGATTGGTTTCTGTACCGAACAAGCGATACTCTCGAACTAACAATTAGCTCGATTCACGGAGAGAAATATTCAATAAAAGTTAAGTATTTCTTTCGTAATTCTGGAGCGAAATGTGGTTGTAGGAAATTTTACGGAATTGTCACGGAATTTTTCCGGAGCGTTCCGTAATTTTTACTGAACATTTTTCTCTGTGAATCAGAAAATATTTTTGTGATTAATAACTTGGTTTAATTCAAGATTCATGTGATTTTAAATTGGTTTTATTATTTGAATTGGGTTTGATGATGTTATTATTCTTGAGTTATTTAAATATAATTTGAGGCATTATTTGATGAAAAGAACAAGGATACTTGTCATTTTAATTTTTGATTTCCAGGGAAAACTAGCGCGATTAATTGATTTAGTAACAGTAATAGTTTGAAATGCAATGAGGCGGAATAAATGTTTGATATAAATTCGAGTAGAATTGAGATTGATTCACTTGAGTATTTGCCGAGACCGAGCGGTTAATTTTAATTCCGGATGAATTAAAGGTTTTGATGCTTCCACACTGAAGGCTCAAAGTGAAGCCTCCGTATACGGTGCCCTATACGATATTTATTAGCAATTAACAATGTGGAACATTTCGTGAATTCTTTCAATTAATTCAATATTCCATTCTATGACGAAATATTTTCTTTTAATTATTGACTGATAGCTCCGTTCAAAATTATTAAAAATTCACAATTTATTGGGAAATTGATTGAATCCGATGGGAAAACTAAAAATAATTCTATAATATTAGAGAGATTAGTGAAATGGTCAGTAATTGAATAGTGATTATTCATTTGGTGATGAACCGAAGGTATTTCGACGAGATGTGACTGACACTGATGTAAATCTTTTGTGTATCCCTGCCCCTCCAGACTGGAATAATACGCGATGCCAGTGAGTATTTAACTCCAACGTTTAATTCTGATTAATCGTCCTCTGCATTTCTCCCAGGCGCCCCCGCAGGGGTTATTAATTGTTTGTCCTTCTGATTTCTACATGGACCGGAGGACTCCTAACTCTTCTGGTCGGAATAACGTTCTACGGTGGAGAGGCAGGAGAGAGAGAGAGAGAGAGAGAGAGAGAGAGAAAAGGGTATACATTTTAATCCGGATGATTTGTTTATGCTAATCCATCTTGAGCACGTGAGAGCCCATTTGAATTAACAGACTGAGAAAAACGGTTAATTGAAAACTCTGGGGTTTTCACGAATTAGGTAAGATCTGGAAAATCCGGGTGAGGTTCGGCCGACCAAATGACCAGTTTTTTAAAATTAATTACTCCGGATTTGCACGTTAAATTCAGTAAATATTATACAGTATTCGATATCTTTTTATCGTTTAACATGAAGTCTCATTGATCCAAATTGTAGATTGAGATAAAAACGAATAAGCTATCAAACAAGTTCTGCTTGAGTTCCGCTTGATTCTCCAACATGAGATCTCCCGCACAAATATCATATTCTTCAGAAAATCTGTCCGACCCGCACAGTAAATTAAATTAAAACTCCATTGAATTTTTTAATTGTTCCTGTGCCGATACTTCTCAAATCGTTATCAAACGAACGTTATTTGGCGGAAAGCTGGGGGGTGGGAGGTGTTGAAGAAGGGGCGATGAGTCTGAACTTTATGAATATTATTTTCCAGCAGATGTCTTTCCCGATAAAACGTCGTTGTCGGTGTAATTAATGACGTCTCAGGAATCACCCGAAAACGAGAGTGAGAGAGCAAAGTTATATACAACCAAGATGAGTGAGTCGCCGTTGGATGGCGGTAGGTGAGACGGGGAGGGGCGTGGAGGGGAGAGGGTGATGTTGGACGCTCTGATAAGGCGAAGATGGTGGGTTGAAATGGTGAAAGGGAGGCGGTGAGTCGACGGGGTTATAAGCTACGACAATGCGCGTGAATTATGCCGCAATGACTGGGTAGATTTTAAAGCCAGGAAGCCGACATTAGCCGCGTGCCTTATAACCCCGAGGAGACCATTGATACAAGCAGGGGGGGCTCTTTGCAATTGCCACATCGCGGTGGACCATTAATATTACTTTACCGGAGTTGTGTAATGCGTTTTAGTTCGGCTCTGTAATGACGTTGTATTTTCGGTCATTTTTTTTCGGTGCGCGAGATGACGGTAGGAGTTGGATGGGCCGTTGCTGGTCGCTTTTTCGCGAGGCTTCGATTGCATTTGAGGGGAATCGGGGAAGGATAGATAGATACTTTAAAAATCCGAATCTGGAAACATGTAGCTGAGATTGCGCTGATTTTATATGACTAGGGAGCTACGCCCCCGGCTCGCCCGCTCGCCAACCCCCATATGATCTCTATAAGATCCCGATGATACTATTCTGACCCTTGTGACCCACAATCCGATCCTTGTGACCCTGTTTTGGACTTTATTTTGACCCTTGTC